ATTTTCAAAGATAGATTTACTTACTTACAAAGAGAGATCTTCCATCCACTGGTTCACTCCCCAAATGGCCACAATGGCTGGGGCTGGGCCAGACCAAAGCCAGGAGCCAAGAGCTTTATCCAGGCTTCCAAAGTTGGGTACAAGGACCCAAGAACTTGGGTCATCTTCCACTGCTTTCATAGGTGCTTTAGTAGGGAGCTGGATTGGAAGTGTAGCAGCTGGAATTCAAACCAGCACCCATATGGGATGCCAGCACTGCAGATGGCGGCTTAACCCATTACACAATGCCAGCCCCCTACCACTTTAACTTTCTTTTAGGTATCTTTTTTAATGGAAAAGCTAACAACTGTCTAGTTATATTACTCCCCCTGGGGACAAAAAAAAAAAAAAAAAAAAAAAAACACACAAACCAGGTAGTAACTGAGTCTTCTAAGCAGAGCTAAGAGGATTGAAAATAAGGCAAGTCCTGAGGTTTAATTAAGGGAGCGCCGCTAGGTACAGTCTAAGCAATACCAGTGGTAGTGGCTGAGCAAGCACTGGAAGACAGCTCTATACCCCACTCAGTGGCCTCTTTCCAGTTTCCAACTTGTGAATAAAGAATATTTTCTTAATTCTACTTAAGAAAACTTTTTGAAAGCTGTTTTATTTACAAAAATATGAACTTTTAAAAGACCACTCAAGTAAACCAGACAATAAGCCAAACAGAAATTGCTTTACAAAAGAGGGAAAGCCCGAAATGCCATTTTCTATTGAGAACCCACAGTTCAGTTTTATTCAGCGCAAAGAAAACAGGAACTTTCGATCACAGTAGAAGAAACTCAGCCATAAGTCTGGAATCTGTACTCAAGCTACACGTGCAGCGAGGACAATAACTCACTAAGCAATTGATTTGCTGCTGCGTCTGTCCACTGTTTGCTTAACGTTAACAATTATAAACAGAGCAGTGCAACCAGCATTGCGGAACAATCCTTACGGTGTTACAGCGTCAGGCACGACATTTCTCTCTTCACACCACTGGTGCTCTCTTCCTACCTGGGCTTCCTCTTTTTTTTTTTTTTTTTTTTTTTTTTTTTTTTTTTTTTTTTACAGGCAAAGTGGACAGTGACAGAGAGAGAGACAGAGAGAAAGGTCTTCCTTTGCCGTTGGTTCACCCTCCAATGGCCGCCACGGCCGGCGCACCGCGCTGATCCGATGGCAGGAGCCAGGTACTTCTCCTGGTCTCCCATGGGGTGCAGGGCCCAAGCACTTGGGCCATCCTCCACTGCACTCCCTGGCCACAGCAGAGAGCTGGCCTGGAAGAGGGGCAACCGGGACAGAATCCGGCGCCCCAACCGGGACTAGAACCTGGTGTGCCGGTGCTGCAAGGCGGAGGATTAGCCTAGTGAGCCGCGGCGCCTGGGCTTCCTCTTTTTCAGTAAAGCCATTTTTATATTGAAGCTCCTGCGACTCTCCCCAGGAGTCATCCTGGCAATGCTCAAGCAGAGCTTTGCTGTCTAAGTAGTTTGCAGCCAGAAAAAGTCAAGAAGCGTTCCTGGGTCAATTTCAGGAATGCTCGGTGGCAAGCAGGGGGAGCATCTGTTCGCTTTCCTTTGCTCTCATCATGTTCAGGAGGAGGAGGAGGGCCACCCTTGTGGTCGGTACATCCTGGGATGAACCCCCCTCCCTTTTTTTTAATATTCCTGCAGGAACATTTAGTACAAAAACTGGGTCATCATCTCCTTCATCATCTGTTCCAAATCTTCCAGCATGGTCTTGATAGTCACAGATTGGCAATTTCCACTTCAACTTCAAATACCTCTCCATCAGAACTCTGCAACTGGCTGGTGCGGCGGCTCACTAGGCTAATCCTCCGCCTGCGGCACCGGCACCCCGGATTCTAGTGCTGGTAGGGGCACCGGATTCTGTCCTGGTTGCTCCTCTTCTAGTCCAGCTCTCTGCTGTGGCCCAGGAAGGCAGTGGAGGATGGCCCAAGTGCTTGGGCCCTGCACCTGCATGGGAGACCAGGAGGAAGCACCTGGCTCCTGGCTCCGATCCGTGCAGCGCGACAGCCGCAACACATCGGCTGTAGCGGCCACTCAGGGAGTGAATCAACGGAAAAAGGAAGACCTTTCTCTCTGTCTCTCTCTCTCACTGTCTAACTCTGCCTGTTAAAAAAACAAAAAAACAAAAAAACAAAAAAAAAACTTTGCAACTTGATTGTAGGCATAGGCATGGTGTTTGGGCTAGTGGTGATGGCAGGCAGGAGGCTGCTGAGGAGGGGGCAGTGCCACCGGGAGAAGAGGGTGGAAGATAAGGCCATTACTAGTGATCTAGTTAAGGGGCTGGCACTGTGGCGTGATGAGTACAACCGGTGCCTTCAGTGCCGGCGTCCCACATGGGCGCCAGTTTGAGTCCCGGCTGCTCCACTTCAGATCCAGCTCTGTGCTATGGCCTGGGATGGCAGTAGAAGATGGCTCAAGTCCTTGGGCCCCTGCACCCACATGGGAGACCTGGAGGAAGCTCCTGGCTCCTGGATTGGCGCAGCTCCAGCTGTTTCGGCCAACTGGGGAGAGAACCAGCAGATGAAGGACCTCTCTCTCTCTCTGCCTCTCCTTCTCTCTCTGTATAACTCTGACTTTCAAGTAAATAAATATCTAAAAACAAAAAAACAAAAAAAAACCACAATAGTTAGGGGACTGGTGTTGTCACCCAGTGGGTTAAGCCACTGCTTGAGATGCTGGTATACCATGTCAGAGTAGATCCAGCTCCCTGCTAATGTGTCTGGGAAGGCCATGGAAGATGCCCATGTACTTGAGCCTCTGCCACCCATGTGGGAGAAGAGAATGGAACCTGGCTTTGGCCTGGCCCAGACCTGACTGTTGCAGCCATTTAGAGATTGAACCTCAGATGGAAGATTTCTCTCTCTCTGTTGCACTGCCTTTCAAATCAATCAGTTAAGAAAAAAAAAAGGGAAGTATTTATAAAAAAAACAAACAAAACAGTTTGGTAGTTCCTACAATTCTAAATATAGAATTATCATATGACCCAGCAATTTCTCTTTTAGGTATACACTTAAAAGAATCGAAACAGAAGTGGACACAAAAACTCATACACAGAGGCTCTTAGCAGCTTTATTCATAATAGCAAAAAGTGGAGACAACCTGGGCGTTCATTGACTGGAGAATAGATAAGAAAACATGGCATGGAATATTATTTAGGTGTGAAAAGGAATGAAGTGTTGTACATATTACAATATGGATGAACCTTGAGAAAATTATGCTAAATTAAAGAAACCAGTCACAAAAGACCACATCTCGTGTGGTTACACTCATATGAAATGCCCAGAATAGGAAAATGCATTAACAATTGTCAGGGCTCAGGGGTGAGGGAGGAATGACTAATGATGGGTGTGGCTGTGTTCTTTTTGTGAGGGAATGAAAATCTTCTTAAATGATGGTGGTGAACAATGACCAAATCCAGATATTGACTAAAAATCACTGAACTGAATACCTTAAGATGATGACTTTTATGGTATAATCATTATTTATACTTAAATAATGTTACAGAAATTAAGTTCACTTGTTTGTTTTTACTTTTTAAAAATGTGGCTACTAGGAAATTTTAAATTATATATATGGCTCAAATATTTCTATTGGACGAGATTATTCTAGAAGCACAGAGATTTTTTTTTTTTTTTAATTTGAGAGAGGCAGAGACAGAGAGGGCTTCCACGTGCTGGTTCACTCCACAAGTGCTTGGCTGCAAGGAACTCAGTCCTGGTTTCCCTTATGGGTGGCAGGGACCTAACTACTTGAGCTATCACCTGCTGCCTCCCAGGGTCTGCATCAGCGGAAAGCTGGAATTGGAAGCAGAGCCAGGGCTCTAGCCCAGAAACGCCAATATGGGATGTGGGCATCCCAAACAGTGTATTATTCACTGCACCGAACAGCCACCCTGCCACAGAGACTTTGAACACCACCTCCTACCTGAGGGACTGTGCAACCCCACTGGAACATAAGTAACAATAAAACCTGGTGGGAACAGTACCTGGCACTTGCTGGGGACCCTGGAGAGTGTTTCATGTGTGTTAGGTCGCTTGATCCTCACAGCCTTCTAGGGAGGCAGGCAGGAAGAGGTTATTAGTCCCATTTTACAGATAGAGACACTGAGGTTTCAGGAATGGGATGGGATTCATCCAGGGCTAAAGAACCAGGTATGGACCCCTGGCCTTGGGCACTGAGTTCTAGGTCTCCAGCTACTTTGGACAAAGGCCTCCACCTTCATTCAGCACCACAATGCATCCCTTCTCCCAGATTTGTCATACACAAGCAGCAAACATCACACTAAGCAGTCTCAGGGGCTTCAGAACTGATCCAAACTTGACACACTCAAGAAAGTGTGTCAAGGCCACCATCCCCTCCCACGGCTCCCAGCTGTCACCACAAGAAGGCAGGTGGGCGTTTAGCAGCTCTGCTGCCCTTGACCGGCACAGTGATGCCTGGGATTCTGATGTCACTGGTCAGGGTCGTGGCCTGGGCACCAGTGATTCCAGTGTGCAGCCAGGGCTGGGAACGCCAACCCCAGCCAATAGTTGTGGGACTGATCAGCATCGCCGTGGTGTTCTGCTTGGGTCCCACACATGATGAATGCGTGTTTGAATTTTATGTAGCTGTCAACGCTTAAAAGCACGGGGTTTCCACATAAAAACCTGGGTCTCTGGCTTCTTGTGAGGCCTAAGAAGCTGGCAGTTGTGCCTGCACTCCTGCAAGGTGCTGGTAGCTGGAGCTGAGTGGGGGCTGCCCTTTGACACAGGCCAGGAGTCATCTAGTTCCCCACAGTCCACACTGATCCTTAATGTCTCACCAGCCCACGTCATTTTTCTCTGGATCCTGTAGGGCTTATGTGAGCCATTGATCTGCTTCGGAGGCTGGGAAACTGAGGATTGTAAGTCGAGTAAGTGTGGGACCTGCAGACCTAAGTAGATGTTACTTGCACTGAGCAGAATTCTCTTTCTTTCCCAGCCAGAGAACATACTGTGTGTCAATCAGACAGGACATCAAATTAAGATCATTGACTTTGGCCTGGCCAGAAGGTAAGGGAGTTTTATTTTGATGCTTGGACAAAATTCTCTGGGGACTCTTTGTGGCTGCGTTGGCTGTGGTTATCCCTGCCCAAGCAATGCTTGAGTTTTGAGAGCATGCAGGGAAGCTCTTGCAGGTAGAGGCTGGTGGCCTTGAACTTGCAGATGAGCCTTGCTGTTACCGTTGCTGGGGGTGGCTTTGTGCTGGGGGCTCTGCTTCTCCCTGCCATGCTGTGGGATTAGCTGTGCTCCAGACCACCTATCTGAGCGGAGAGGGGAGTGGTGGTTTAAAGGGGCTGCTGGATGCGATGCTGCAATTCTGTTGATTCCCCAGGCTGCCTGGCACCAGGCTGTGCTGGGCTGTGCAGTGCCTCCCTCCATTCCCAGCCCTGCCCTCCAGGAAATGACTGGGTCAAATATGAAAGCACCTTTGTAACAGTATCAGGTGGTTCCATGGGTGAGTGGTTCTGGAGTCACTCAGGACTGGGTTAGATCGGGGTAAAACGAGGACATAGTGACATTACCTATTGACACAGAGGCAGTAATGAGTTGAATGGGTTAATACATGGGTAGTGTGAAACCATCCTATGAGGGTGGTTAGGTTCTCAACATTCAGTTCCTAAGATGTATATAATTTAAAAGATATCTTCAAGTCCATCAAAGTGCTAGAATCCTGGGACTGTATGGTTTCACCGTATGGTGCTGCCCCATCAGAGTCACCTCTGCAGGGCTCACAGCTGGTGATGTGGGCTCTTAGCAGCGGCTAATCACAGTCCTTGGCATTGGGAGGGCTGCTGCCCAACCTCCAGGCCTTCAGTTCACACATGTGGCAGTGCGCGTACGCCCAGCCTCCAGGCTTCCTCTACAATTCTGTTTCCTCCGAGAATGACAGTTCTCTGGGGATCACATTATGTTCTGGGTAGGTCCTTCACATCATGGCTGAATTTTCAACTCTTCCCGAAGGTTTTAGGTGTGTGTGTGTGTGTGTGTGTGTGTACTCCATGACTGTTTTTCTCAAGTAAGTTTTGCTCCACCTGCAAGCAGCAGAAGGCAGAGCCTCATTCCTGTGGAGGCAGGGCTGCTTTCCTGAGCTCGGCCTCTGCTGGCTCCTCGCACCTGCCTCGCAGCCTGCATCTGAAACCAGTGGCGGTCTCTTGTTAAGCTTCATGAGCAGAGCTTTTCTAATGAGTCAGGCAGAGAAAAACAAATGTCGCATGATTGCACTTATAAGTGGAATCTAAGAGAGAAGAACACACAGAGATAGAGAGTTCATGGTGGTTAGCAGATTGTCAACTACGAGTTTGTTTCCTTCCTCAAGGACATGTGGAGTGTGGGCCCGACCACTGTGGCCCTGGGGAGTTGTTGGCCAAAGGATAAAACAATTTCAGTTAGACAAGAAGAATAAGTTCAAGAGATCCATTGTACAGTGAGGTAACAACAAGATTAACAACAATGTCGTATACTTGAAAGTTGGTAAGAGGATAAATTTTTAAGTGTTCTCACCACAAAATAATAAGTATATGATGACACACATATATCGGAACAACATGTTGTATGCCATAATTATGTTTTTTAATTAAAATAAATAAATGAATTGATTAGTTGAAGAAGAAAAAAATTACCATCTTAATTTTTAACTGTACAATTCAGTAGTGTTAAGGCTATTTGCATTGTTGTGCAATCCATCTCCAGAACTTTTTCATCTGTAAAACCGAGCTTTGATAGCAATTAAATAATAACTTCTCATTTTCCTTCTGCTCCCAGTTCCTGGCAAGCACCTTTCCTCTTTCTGTTTCTGTAAAAGTGGGTTCTCCAAGTACCCCGGATCAGCAGAAATATGCAGCATTTCTTGTGCCTGACTTAATTCACTTAGCATAACATCCTTGAGGTTCACTCATGTGTGGCATGTGTCAGAATTTCATTCCTTTTTGGGCTAAGTGATATTCCATTCCATGTATATGCCATATTTTGCTTATTCATTCACCTGTCAGTGAGCACTTGAGTAACTTCCTCCTTTTAGCTATTGTGGATAATGCTATGAACGTGGATGTGCAAATATCTTTTGGTGAATCTGCTTTCAATTCTCTTGAGTATATACCCAGACTTAGAATTAATGGACCCTATGATAATTCTATTTCTGATTTTTTTGTGGAACCACCGTACTATTTACAGTGATTAACCACAGTGGCTGCCCTATTTTACTTTCCCACCAGTAGTGCATAAGGTGCTGATTTTTCCACAACCAGTCTATACTTGATATTTTCATTTTTTGTTTATTTCTTTTAAAATACAGTAGCCATCCTTGGGGTGTGAAGTGATCTTATGCTGTGGTTTTTGTCTGTGTTTCCCTAATGATTAGTGGTGATGGACATCTTTAACTCTTTTTTCTCATTCTTACCATCACTGCTCCAACCAATTGGGTGCACTCACTCCAGTTGGGTGCGCGTGTAGCTGCATGCTGAGCGAGATATCTTCACATCTCTTCAGATTGGAAAGGGCTGGAGAATGAGGACTTTTTCTGATTCTACCCATGACTTAGAGCATTTGGGGCCTGGGGTGTGACCATTCCCCAGGGTGAGGTCCAGGCAACATAAGTGACTGGAAGAGCCCGGAGAATGTCTCCTCCCACCGGGAACTTGTCCAGCCTCACTCCCATGGTCCTGTCTCCCCGCTCCCCCAGGTACAAGCCTCGGGAAAAGCTGAAGGTGAACTTCGGTACTCCGGAATTCCTGGCCCCGGAAGTTGTCAACTACGAGTTTGTCTCCTTCCCCACGGACATGTGGAGCGTGGGCGTCATCACCTACATGCTGTGAGTGTGTAGGGTTCTGGCTTCAGAGTGAATCAGGGCAGCCAGCTGTTTTACTTCCTTCCCAGGAAACACCAATAGGCGTGTAGGGTGGTGAGATGGGGAAAGAAAGGCAGCCAGTTAGGGGTGTGTTATTAAGCCAGGGGCCATATTTACAAGTTGATCCTAATTCCAAGTCATCAGTGATAAGTCAATGTAGAAAACATGTTTAGATATGGAGGTGTTAGTCCTCAGAACAGAAGGCCTCGATGCCTCATTTCTTGGAGATCAGCAGCTCTGTCAAGTCATCGGCTGGGCCTCTGAGTTGTTTGATCCTCGGATATAAAGTAATAACTGAAAATAGCCAAAGGTGTTACTGACCCAGGAATCAGACCCAACGGTGGGCAACCTGCTTTATTTCTGCTGGAGGACTCCGGAATCCGTCAGCCCCTCCGAGTTATTCCAGCTGTGGAGGAGGGAATTCGGGTATTGATGATCAGTTCCTGTTAGTTATTGCTTGTAGGCTGACCCTGGGGGTGTGGAGGGAATGGAATTAATTTCCTGTTATTTCTGGGTTGGCAAACAACTGAGGTTAAAGGCCTTTGGCACAGGGTGGGGGTGGGTGGGGCTGGAGTGCCCTGAAGGGGTTTAGAGAGGGGCGGGGCGGGGCGGGGGCAGGATGGGGCTTGCTGGGTCCTCTCACCTTGCCACTTCTCAGCCTGCGCGTCCTGTTTCCTTCTCTCCCCAAGTGTGGCAGGCTCCTCGGCTGTTTGCTCAGAGGCCCGGCAAAGTCAGGTTTTGCCTCTGGTCTTCTTATTCTTGTGTAACTGCTGCTCCCTGTCCTCACACTGTGTATGTGTGCTGCACCAGCTGGGGAGGTTTAGGGCCCCGGGGGACAGCCGCGGAGGTTGTCCTGCCTCTCTGCCCTCACTGTAGTAGGAGGCAAATCAAGCCAATTTTCCTTTGGCCAGAGGCCTGGGTATTATCTAAATGAGCCTGGCTGTCTCCGACACATGGAAAACTATTTTTAAATTAAATCAAGATGTACTTGATAGCTGGGTATTCAGTTGGGCCCTCATCTCAATTGTGAGTTCGAATGGAGGCTTATTCTGAATACCCTTCCTGCCTTCAATTTTTTAATCCTTCCACTGCCTCCCCTTAATGAACACATTGCTTTTTTTTTTTTTTTTTTTTTTTTTTTTTTTGGACAGGCAGAGTTAGACAGTGAGAAAGAGAGACAGAGAGAAAGGTCTTCCTTCTGTTGGTTCACCCCGCAAATGGCTGCTACGGCCAGCGTGCTGCACTGATCTGAGATCTGAAGCCAGGAGCCAGGTGCTTCCTCCTGGTCTCCCATGAGGGTGCAGGGCCCAAGCACTTGGGCCATCCTCCACTGCACTCCTGCGCCACAGCAGAGAGCTGGACTGGAAGAGGAGCAACCGGGACAGAATCCGGCGCCCCGACCGGGGCTAGAACCCCGTGTGCCGGCGCCACAGGCGGAGGATTAGCCAAGTGAGCCGCGGTGCAAGCCCAAACACATTGTTCTATACTCTGTGCAGAAGTGAGGGGGTTGCTTTTCTTCCGAACTCTCTTGGTTCTGGTTAGGCCTGCTTGGACCTTGTAAGTTTTTTCTTCTTTGTCTTGATGCCTGTTGGCAAACGTAGCTCCAAAATACTGACAGTCTTTTCTCTCTCCTGTAGACTCAGTGGCTTGTCCCCGTTTCTAGGGGAAACAGATGCAGAGACCATGAATTTCATTGTGAACTGCAGCTGGGATTTCGACGCTGAGACCTTTGAAGGGCTGTCGGAGGAGGCCAAGGACTTTGTTTCCCGGCTGCTGGTCAAAGAGAAGAGGTCTCTTTACAACTTGTCACTCATGCTCCATTCTGATGGCGACCCCTGGGCTGGGTGCTGGGCAGGACTGCTGAGGCCAACAGTCCTTTGTTCCTATGAAGGGAAGTAGTGTGCTACTTCTTTGGAACACTAAAGGGAGTAGACAAAGGGACAAAGGAAATTAATTTCCAGATAAATTGCTAGGATTGTAAAATGTAGGTAGAACTTCTAAAGGAGTGTATTTACGAATGATTCCTATTTCCAAGTTATCACTTATAAGAGGCTCATGTTGAAGAAAAATTTAGATGAGGTGCTGTCATTCTCTATAGTGAAATAAAGGGATTTTTCAAATGGGGAGACAGGACACGGGAGCGTCCATTCTAAGAGCGCACCACTGGATAGCTATGCGCTCCCACTTTTATTTAGAGGGTACCAGCAAGTCTACAAACCAGCAGGCACATAGGCAAGGTTATATACAACAACTTCAGGATTTGGGAAAGGGAATTCGGTCTGGTGGTCTAACATAGGGATTAGAGCTGTGTGGTAAATCTTCAGAGACAGGCCCATTTAGATGCTCCTGCAAATTTACAAATTCCTGAAAATACCCCTGGTACCAATTCATGTCCATTAGCCCCCTGCTGCTCCCACTGCCACATTCCTTTGTGTGTGCTCGGGGAGGGGGTTGGGGGGGGTGGGGTGGTGGGGTGGGTGAGGGTGTGTGTGTGTGCCATCCTCAGCCTGTTTTCTGCCTGAGCAGAAACTGCGGCCATGCCTCTAATTTCAGGGTGTGTGCCCTCCTGAAAAGCACTTATACAGCATCTCTACAGTGAAAGTCTGACTATCTCATCTCTTGGTGATGAAGGCTGCGTATTTCAGACACTAGAGTAGATGGAAAATAACCGAAGGCATTACTAACCCAGGAGTAAGGTGGAAGAATCCGGGCTCTAACACCGATCATAGGTCCCTGACATTCACAGTTTTGTTTCTGATTTGTGAAAGGTTGTGTGAGAGGAAACACGTTTCTTTTCTTTTTTTTTTTTTTTTATTTAATGAATATAAATTTCCAAAGTACGACTTATGGATTACAATGGCTTCCCCCCCATACCGTCCCTCCCACCCACAACCCTCCCCTTTCCCACTCCCTCTCCCCTTCCATTCACATCAAGATTCATTTTCGATTATCTTAATATACAGAAGATCAGCTTAGTATACATTAAGTAAGGATTTCAACAGTTTGCTCCCACACAGAAACATAAAGTGAAAAATAATAGATGATTTTTTTAAATGATGATGAAATCAGATCAGACCTATTGTCATGTTTAATCCCAGTGAGAGTCAAGTTGGGAATTGATAATTTCTTTCTTTCTTTTTTTTTTTTTTTTACAGAAGATCAGTTTAGTATACATTAAGTAAAGATTTCAACCGTTTGCACCCCCATAGAAACACAAAGTGAAATATACTGTTTGAGTACTCGTTATAGCATTAAGCCTCAATGTACAGCACATTAAGGACAGAGATCCTACATGAGGAGTAAGTGCACCGTGACTCCTGTTGTTGACTTTACAAATTGACACTCTTGTTTATGGCATCAGTAATCTCCCTATGCACCAGTCATGAGTTTCCAAGGCTATGGAAGCCCCTTGAGTTCTCCGACTCTTATCTTGTTTAGACAAGGTCACAGTCAAAGTGGAGGTTCTCTCCTCCCTTCAGAGAAAGGTACCTCCTTCTTTGAAGACCTGTTCTTTCCACTGGGATCTCACTCACAGAGATCTTTTTGCCAGAGTGTCTTGGCTTTCCATGCCTGAAATACTCATGGGCTTTTCAGCCAGATCCGAGTGCCTTTAGGGCTGATTCTGAGGCCAGAGTGCTATTTAGGACATCCGCCATTCTATGAGTCTGCTGAGTATCTCACTTCCCATGTTGGATCACTCTCCCCTTTATTTATTCTATCGGTTAGTGTTAGCAGGTACTAGACTTGTTTATGTGCTCCCTTTGACTCTTAGTCCTTTCATTATGATCAATTGTGAACTGAAATTGATCACTTGGAATAGTGAGATGGCATTGGTACATGCCACCTTGATGGGATTGGATTGGAATCCCCTGGTATGTTTCTAACTCTACCAATTGGGGCAAGTCAGCTTGAGCATGTCCCAAATTATACATCTCTTCCCTCTCTTATTCCCACTTTTATGTTTAACAGGGATCACATTTCAGTTAATTTTCAACACTTAAGAATAACTGTGTGATAATTACAGAATTAAACCAGTCATATTAAGTAGAACAGACAAAAAAAAATACTAAGAGGAATAATGGAAACACGTTTCTAATCTGGGTGAATCATTTGACATCGTGGTCTAGAAGGAGAAATGAGCTTCTTTCAAGTCTCATCTTCTTTTTAAATTTTTTTTTTTGTTAAAGATTTATTTTATTTATTTGAAAGGCAGAGTGACAGGGCAGGGGTGGGAGAGAGACAGAGAGAGAGAAAGGTCTTTCATCCGCTGGTTCAGTCCACAAATGGCTGCAAGGCCAGAGCTAGGCTAAGCCAAAGCCAGGAGCCTGGAATTCTCTCTGGGTCTCCCACATGGGTGACAGGAGCCCAAACACTTGGGCCATCATCCATTGCTTTCCCAGGTACATCAGCAGGGAGCTGGATTAGAAGGGAGCAGCTGAAATTTCAACTAGTGCTCGTATGGGATCATGACAACACAGGAAGTGGCTTAACACTTAAGTATTTTTACTTATTTATTTATTTATTTTTTGACAGGCAGAGTTAGACAGTGAGAAGACAGAGAGAAAGGTCTTCCTTCTGTTGGTTCACCTCCTCCCACCCCCCCCCCCCCCCAAATGGCCGCTATGGCCAGCATGCTGCGCTGATCCAAAGCCGGGAGCCAGGTGCTTCCTCCTGGTCTCCCATGCGTGTGCAGGGCCCAAGCACTTGGGCCATCCTCCACTGCCTTCCCGGGCCACAGCAGAGAGCCGGACTGGAAGAGGAGCAACTGGGACAGAATCCAGTGCCCCAACCGGGACTAGAACCTGGGGTGCTGGTGCCGCAGGCAGAGGATTAGCCTAGTGAGCCGCAGCGCTGGCCTTACTTATTTATTTTTAATTATTTGAAAGGCAGAGAGACAGAGACAGAGAGAGCTTCCATTCACTAGGTCACTTCCCCAGATGTCTACAACAGCCAGGGCAGGGCCAAGCTGAAGCCAGGAGCCCAGAACTCAGTTTTCCATGTAGGTGGCAGGGACCCAAGTACTGAGCCATCACCAATGTCTCTAATTCACTCTCAAAATGGCCTCAACAGCTGGGAGTGGGCCAGGCTGAAGCCAGGAGCCAGGAGCTTCTTCTGGGTCTCCCACATGGGTGGCAGGGGCCCTGTGGCTTGGGCCATCTTCTACTGCTTTCCCAGGCACATTATCAGGGAGCTGGCTTGGAAGTGAAGCAGCTGGGACTGGAACATCCATATGGGATGCCGGCACTGCAGGTGGAGGCTTAACCTTCTATGCCACAGCGCAGGCCCCAAGTCTTCTGTTCTTAAGAGCAGATTCAGGCTGGCCGTCCTATGGCCTGCCTCCCTCTCCCAGCCCTGTCTGGGAAGTGGGAGACATTCCTTCTCTAGACATCAGGGAACACTTCACTGACAACTTTCTGGCACTTTTAAGGAAGGGGAACTTTTGATACAAGGAGTTTCCTTTCTGGTGCACAGCACGAATCTGCCTAAGTCATTAATCTCCATAGACTCAGGCTCCCTACCCAATTGAACAGATTTTTGGACAACTGGAAAAGGGCAAACCCCACTAAAAGCCTCAACTACTGTTTGATTTCACAGCTGCAGAATGAGTGCCACACAGTGCCTGAAACATGAGTGGCTCAATCATTTGCCTGCCAAAGCTTCCAAATTCAAAGTTCGTCTCAAATCCCAACTACTGCTGCAGAAGTACACGGCCCAGAGAAAATGGAAGGTATTTTGCTTTTCTTTTTGTACAGGCAATGCTTGTCTTAATATGCCTTTGAAAGAAAGAACTGTAGCTAAGTTTTTACTTACATTTTGGTTCTCAATAGGAAGATTATTTAGCGGGAAAAATCTCTCTCTTGCCAAAAACCGTTTAGCTCGATTTAAAAATGCCACAGACCAAAAATCACTGGCTTAGAGTGATGTTTGGTTTGTAGTCTCTTGTATTTGTCACTTGAAGTGGTGGAGTGGAGTTGAGCATATGTTCTCCATGGCAGTGCTGTTCAAGTTCCTGTTGTCGCCTGGGGCTGGATCACCCCACATTTCAGAAATGGGGGCTGGAAAGCCTTGCTAAGGTCTCCAAGTTCACGATTTTGTTTACAACAGAACTCTTTGGTACCTTGGACATAAAGCCTATCTTAGAAGCATATTCGTGGTGCTCAGACTCTCGCTGAAAACTAAAATGAAATTGTTTACCTAGGGAGGCAGTACACAGGATCCACATACATGTTCACAATAGCTCTGTATACACATTTCCTCCAACAGTCTGTGACACACTCTGGTATTTTCCATTTTATGACATTTAGTCTTACTAAGTAAAGTCCTGTTCACAACCCACAAATTTCATTTCATGACCAACTGGTGGCTATGAATCACAGTCTGAGAAACACTGTTGTAGGATGCTGTGTTTTTCACATAAAAGGGGCGTGATAGCATCTTCTCACTTCCTGTTTACCTCCCACTGCCCCAGAAATGCTACTGTTGTACTGTAATTGGTCTGGAAATTTGTTTGCCCCTTTGGGTGATTCGTTTTAAATGAAATCAAGTGGCAGACTTGCTTAAAACCTTTCATTGTTTCTTCCTAAAGCAACTGGTCTAACAGTACACTTTTTCTTTATTTTTTTCTCTTTTATCTCAAGAAACATTTCTACGTGGTGACTGCTGCCAACAGGCTAAGGAAATTTCCAACGTGTCCCTAATCTTCAACTCAGATGCTCCAACAGGCCTAGAAATTATCGAGGGCAGTGGTGAAGTGAAGAGATGACTTTACATAATCGGGCTTAAATATTGATTCCACTTATTTTGTAAAACAGATTATGACTGTGGCCTTCGTTGCAGATAGAAAGTGGCTGTAAGGAATGCACGCTGAGGGCTTTGGTTCTCCCTTGTAAGAGCCCTAAGTTTGAAATGCTGTGTTTACTTTCCAAGTACACCTATTTTTGGTGATAAGTAGGCATGCTTTAGATAGGTAGGAAAGTGGAGTTTAAATTATAAACTTACTGTGATTAAAGAACTTAGCAGGCTTTTCTGCAGGGGCACGCTATTCAGTATTATCTCTTCCAGCACAAGGAAGTCCTAGAATTTCGATTTGCTTAGGTGTGAACTGACATTTGCTTGTATTACCCTGCCCTAGTGTCAACCATTGTGGATTTAGGACAGTGATCCTTGAACTTGTTTAACTTAGGCTCCCTTTTGAGAATCAGCATCAATGTGCATCCTTTAATATTGTTTCACATTTCAAAATATATCCACTCTAAATGTGAGCAATTAGAATTAAAGGAAAATTTTAAACTCTATGTGCACCTGCTGCCTCCAACCAATTCTTCACCATGATGACTACCCCCCCCCCCCCCGCCTTCTTGGTCACGAGCTTCCGGTCTTGCATGTTGTTGGGTGTGGGCCCAAATAAAAGTCATGTCCACACTTTTATCCAGCAATTCCATTTCTGGAAATGTACCCCTCAGTACTTGGACAAGTATAGAGATTTATGCAAAATGATGTTTCCTATAGCACTATTGCTAATGGCCCAGCAGAAATAATCAACATGTGCCTGTCAGCTTGGGCTTAGTTAAATTAATTTTGTTACATCCATGTAGTAGAATACCTTGCAGTGGTTAAAGATAGATCCAGATTTTGAAGGGCATTTTTTCATTATCAAAATGATAGAACATATATGTGGTATCATCCCATCTGTGCAGAAACATATGCTTCCATGTACATTAAAAATTCTAGGATATGCAGAAGAACAGTGGGGTATAAAAAGTGGGTGACTGGGAGAGAAAGAAAACCACTTTTCACTTCATAACTTTCTGAACCATTTGAATATTTTGTTTCTTTTTTAAATGAGCATGTACTGCTTTTATAATTAAAAATTAGCAACTCAGTGTCAAGTGTGGACTTTGTTTTGACCCTGATTTGAGCAAACAATAAAAAGATATTTTAGAAACAGTTTTCTGTTGTTAATAACAGGATATACAGACTGGGTAAATTATAAAGAAGTCCATTTTGGCTCCTGGTCCTAGTCCAGGATTGAGGGGCTGCACCTGGTGATGGCTATCTCATCAGCAGAGTCCCAAGCAGCACAAAGGCAAGGGGCAAGGGGCAGTGGCAAGAGACAGCGGGTGTCAGGTGAGAACCCCTGGTGTCTTCCTACAAAGCTAGCAGTGTCAATCATGGTGCTGTACCTTGAGGACCTTGTCTAATCCTCATCCCTCCCACAGGCCACACCTCTAAACCCGAGTTAGGTTTCCATTTGCTCTGTTTTTTAAGTTTATTTTTTGAAAGGCGGAGAGAGAGAGAGAAAGAGAGAGAGAGAGACAGAGAGAGAGAGAATCTTGTATCTGCTAGTTCACTCCCCAAATGGCCGCAATAGCCAGGGCTGGGACAGGTTGAAGCCAGGAGCCAGAAATTCCATCTGGGTCTCCCATGTGGGTGCAGGGGCCCAAGCACTTGGGACATCTGCTGCTGCTTCACAGGTGCATTAGCAGAGAGCTGGATGGAGAGTGGAGCAGCCGGGACTCTAACCTGTGTTTGTATGGGATGCCAGTGTCTCAGGCGGCAGCCTAACCTACTGTGCCACAATGCCAGTCCCTCCATTCTCTTTTAAAAAACCAACTCAGATAGGTCAGTTTTAATAAGTTCTTCTATATACACATTTATTTGCTACTGAAAGTTGAAACATCACACCACAGTTCCCTTTTTTGCAATTCAAACATTTGAAAGCCGGAAAAATCTAATCATCTGCCCTAGTTAGTATGCTTTAGTCAAATAGCCTGCTTTCTTTACATTCCTTTCCTACAGTTGCTTTGCAGCTCAGCTTTGTTTGTTTGTTTGTTGACAGGCAGAGTTAGACAGTGAGAGAGAGAGAGAGAGAGAGAGAGAGAAAGGTCTTCCTTCTGTTGGTTCACCCGCCAAAATGGCTGCTACGGCTGGCATGCTGCGCTGATCCAAAGCCGGGAGCCAGGTGCTTCCTCCTGGTCTCCCATGCAGGTGCAGGGCCCAATCACTTGGGCCATCCTCCACTGCCTTCCCGGGCCACAGCAGAGAGCTGGACTGGAAGAGGAGCGACCGGGACAGAATCCGGCGCCCTGACCGGGACTAGAACCCAGGGTGCCCATGCCGCAGGCAGAGGATTAGCCTAGTGAGCCACGGCACTGGCCGCAGCTCAGTTCTTGGTGCAAGGTTTCATCTCATTGACTTCAGGCTTCTAAAACACATGGGAATACTTGAAATTTCTTGGTGCTTCTTCACTGGGTCAAATCGAAAAGAACTGAAGTATACTGGAAGTCATTCAAATACATTCAAACATTATATATAGATTCCATATAAATTATTGGTATCAAGTCAGGAAGAGAAAGGTTTCACAGAACTCATATCATAGGTTATCAAATACCAGGTCTATCTAAGCATAGAGTAGCTTTCTCTAATATATAAAATTACCAGCAAGAATAGAAATTTCTTGATTCACTCTGATCTCAACGACCAATGTCTTTTTCATTCTTTCTTGAGAATACTGTTCATTAAGAGGTGTCTGTGTGTGTGTTTTTTTTGTTTTTGTTTTTTTTTTTTTTTTAGGTTTGTTTATTTATTTGAAAGAGTTACAGAAAGGGAGAAAGTGTGCTTCCATCCCCTGGTTCACTCCCCAAATGGCAGCAACAGATAGGGCTGGGCCAGGCTGAAGCCAGGAGCCAGGAACTAGGAGCTTCTGGGTCTCCCACATGGGTTCAGGGGCCCAAGAACTTGGGTAATTTTCCACTACTTTCCCAGGTGCATTAGCAGGGAGCTGGATTGGAAGCAGAACACCTGGGACTGAAATTGGCACCTATGTGGGATGCCGGTGCTATTTTACCCAGTATGCCACAGCACCACCCCATCTTTCAATGTCCTTACTCCTCTCTTCCTCCTCCTGGCATCTGGATTTGTGTCTGTCAGGCTGTTGACATGGATCTTCTGGTACTGGGGAAGGGACTTTGGTAGTAGGGCTGAGTTAAGTCTTACGGCCCTTTGTTAACAGTTCTGGGCAGAGGGAATGAGAGGCTGCTGAATCCTGAGAATTTCCTTCAGTGGACATCCAAAAAGACCATGATGTCAAGGTTGTGGTAAAACTTTTGTGGCAGGTCCATAACATACTGGTTATAGCTCTTAGGTGTCTGGATCTCAGGGAAAGGTGTCTGAACTCAAGTTATCCAAGATAGTTTGAAAAGAATGAACTAGCCCAGACAGACCCTGAAAAACCAGCTTCCAACATAGAGAAGTGAAATGAGTGCTTCATTCACTTAATAACAATGGCAATTAAAGTCCAACATGTTTAGAAGGGGATAAGTGATATAAATTCTCCATTCTGGAGACATATGGATATTTTAATTATCAATTTCACATCTGATGATAGAATGAATTATTATTAATTTTATGAGGTGTGATATGGTAATTTGGTTAAATGATTTCAGGGAAAATGGGAGGTATAGTTAGTTAAGCATGTGAGGAAAAATCTTACTAATTGTAGGGTCTGTTTGATTGGTATGGCTTCAAATATGAGGGTACTTGGAAAAGTTCATAGAAAATGGGATTTAAATGTGAGTTTATTTTGTTGTAATACACTTTCTTTCCTTTTGGAAGACCTTCTTTATTGAAAATAAATACAGGTGGCCGGCGCCGCGGCTCACTAGGCTAATCCTCTGCCTGCGGCATGGGCACCCTGGGTTCTAGTCCCGGTCGGGGCACCGGATTCTGTCCCGGTCGCTCCTCTTCCAGGCCAGCTCTCTGCTGTGGCCAGGGAGTGCAGAGGAGGATGGCCCAAGTGCTTGGGCCCTGCACCCCATGGGAGACCAGGAGAAGCACCTGGCTCCTGCCTTTGGATCAGCGCAGTGCACCAGCCGCAGAACGCTGGCTGCGGCGGCCATTGGAGAGTGAACCAACGGCAAAAGGAGGACCTTTCTCTCTGTCTCTCTCTCTTACTGTCCACTCTGCCTGTCAAAAAAAAATTAAATAAATACAGGATTTTTTTTAGTGCAATACAGTTTGAAGTTTTCAAAAAGCTCAGGGAAATGCATATTGAGAAAAAATTATGCATGTAGTTCAAAATTTTTTTGCACCAAAAATAAACTTTTCATTCCATTTCCCCATAGCTTTCCCAAGTTTTCCTTGGAAAACTATATTTGAAAACTTTCATAAAACAATTTTTAAAATCAGTTGAATAATCCATGAGGAGCTGTTAAAAACTATTTCCAAAGTGTTTTTACAGAGACAGACTCACGAAGTAGTAAGTTTCCATCACTGGCAGTGTGAATGTGCTAAAGTTGTAGAAAGAATTCGTGTCCTAGGAAGGCATTTGGACAATACCACTTTAAGGCAGGCAATTCCTCCACAAATTTAAGAAATAAGCATAGATCTACTACATTTCAAATAATTAACATAATTACCATTAGTTGTTTTAAAGTCATAAGGAAAAAGTCACAAACAGTATTTGTGTTTTTCTCAGCCCATATAGAAGACTCAGAAACTTCAGATTTCTTGGAATTCCATCAAAATAGTATAAAAATGGATATGCTTAATAAACTAAAAATGAAACAAAGAACTAATTGTAAGAGTTAAAAATATAAAATTCCTAGAAAATGTAGGGGGAAAGCTTCATGACTTTGGTTTGGTGATGATTTAGTGAATATTATAGCAAAAGCAGACAATAACAGTAAAAACAGATGAACTGGACATCAAAATTAAAAACTCCTGTGCATCAAAGGACATATCAAGAGGGAAAAAACAACTTAAGGCAGAAAAATTTGCTAATCACAGATCTGATAAGGATTAATCTCTAGAATATATAGAAAACTACAACTTGACAACAAAACCCAAACAACCCAATTAAAAAATGGGCTGAATTGATATTTCCCAAAGTAAATATGCAAATACCTGAAAAGATGGTCAACATAACTAAAAATTAGAGAAATGTCCTAACCACACCACCACCTCATATCCAATTAATATGGCTGTTAAAAAAATAAAAATCCAGAAAATAAATGTTGGCAAGGATGTGGAGAAATTGGAACACTTATAATCTGTTGCTGGGAATGTAACATAGTACAGCCACTATGGCTGGTATGGCATCTGTTTAAAAACAGAATTATTGTATGATCCATCATTTCAATTCTGGGTTTTCCCCCTACTCCTAAATTGAAAGCAGTGTCTCAGATGTTGTATATCCAAGTTCATAGCAACAGTACTCAAAACAACTAAAAGGAGTAATCAATCCATGTGTGCAATTGATGGATGGATGGATGGATGGATGGATAAACAAAATGTGGGACTATATATATAAAACAATATTATTCAGTCATGAAAAGAGGAGATCTTCCATTCACTAACTCCCCAAATGGCTGCAAGCCAGGAGCTGGGAGCTTCATCTGGGTCTCCCACAAAGGTGCAGGGGCCCAAGCACTTGGGCCATCTTCTGCTGCTTTCCCAGGCCCACTAGCTGGAAGCTGGATTGGAATAGCCAGGACTTGAAACAGCATCCATATAGGATGCCAGCATCACAGGCAGCGGCTTAACCCTTTTAAGCCCCAGTGCTAGCCCCAACATGGATGAACTTTTAAAGACATTAAGTAAGCCAGTCTCAAAGAAATACTGTATGATTCCATTATATGGAATATCTAGCCAAAGTCAGAGACAGAAAGAATGGTAGTTGCCAGTGTTTAGGAAGAGAGAGGAATGGGGAATTGTTCAATGGGTAATATTCTGGAGGTTGGCTGCAACACAATGTCATTATTTGCTACTAAGCTGCAGCACACACAAGAAATTTTAAGTGGGTGGTGTTTGGCACAGTGGTCTGTGTCAGAGTGCCTGGGTTCAATTTACAACTTAGCTTTCAGTTAATGTGCACCAGCAGGTTGGTTTAGGTGCTTGGGTCTCTGCCACCTATGTGGAAAAGATCGATTGAGGAGCTCCTGGCTTCAACTGATCTCAGCCCCTGCTGTTACAGGCGTTTGGGGAGTAAACCAGAAGATGGAAAGTCTGTCTTCCTTTAAAAAAATTAAAACAAATAAAAAGGAAAGTGAAAAAAATTAAGGTGGTAAGTCTTGTATGTATTTTATTAAATCAGAAAAAGTGGAGGGACAGATATTTGGCCCAAGTGGTTAAGATGCCACTTGGGACACCCACATCCCATAATAGTACCTGGGTTTAAGTCCTGGCTCTGCTCCCGGTTCTGAGTCCAGCTTTCTGCTAATGAGCACTCTGGGAGGCAGCAGGTCATGGCTCAAGTAGTTGGGTCCCTGCTTCCTATGTGAGAGACCTATGTTAATTTCTTAGTTCTGTTTTTAGCTGAGCCCAGCTCCAGCGCTTGCGAGAATTTAGGGAGTGAATCAGCAAATGGAAGACCTGTTTCTCACTCACTCTCTGCCTTTCAAATACATAATAAATAAAAATACTTTAAGACAGTGAGCGTGCTTAATTTTACATTGTGAAGAGTATATTGATTTGACTCAAAACTAATCAAAATCTTGGCACCAAATATAAACAAATTACCTTTTTTTTTTTTAAAAAAAATTTATTTGAAAGTCAGAGTTACACAGAAAGAGGAGGAGAGGCAGAGAGAGAGGTCTTCCATCTACTGGTTCACTCCCCAGTTGGCCACAATGGCCAGAGCTGGGCCAATCTGAAGTCAGGAGCCAGAAGCAGGGGCCCAAGCACTTGGGCCATCTTCTACTGCTTTCCCAGGCTATAGCAGAGAGCTGGATGGGAAGTGGAGCAGCTGGAACTTGAACCAGAGCCCATTTGGGATGCCACTATCACAGGTGGTGGCTTTACCTATTACACCACAGTACCGGCCCTGACCTACTTCTTAAAATAAATGAGTCATTTACCCATTCTAGATCAAAGTGGTAGCCAAAACTGCTATTTAGTGAATGTCTTGTCATGCACTTCAAATATAACCTTTAATCCCCACAAGTCAGATATAAATGAGTAAACTGAGGCTAAAGGAAGTTCTGAGATTGTCTGAGGAGAAATGTCAGCCTGAATTTCAAACCAAGTGTGTATGGTTCCAAAGCTCATGTTTGTTTTTCAATACCACAGGACTTGCCAGGTATTGCATATGTTGGGATCCTATTTCCTTAGCATGGTCTTCTAGATTTCTAGAAGGGCCGAAAGAATCACTTTCAGTCACTCCAGGACTAAGCAGTAGGTATAGAATTATGCCTTACTTGCAGAAGATTCAAAGTAACCACTGTTATTGCTGATGCCATTTTGAACAGATGAAAAAATCTGGATGCAATCACTTCTGGGTCTCCCATGTGGGTGCAGGGGCCCAAGCACTTGGGCCATCTTCTGCTGCTTTCCCAGGCCATCAGCAGGGAGTTGAATAGGAAGTAGAGCAGCCAGGACTGAAATTGGCACTCATATGGGATGCCAGTGCTGCAGGTGGATGCTTAACCTACTATGCCACAGAACAGATTGCCATGATCTTAATTTTAGTTAAAAATCATGTCTGGCACGATGCCCCTAACAACTTATTGCTGTCTTCCAGTTTTAAAGTAAGTACTATTTACTAAGATTACATTTTTCAGTATGAGGCTATCAAAAGAAAAACTGGTTTATTGCTGGACTCATAATATGGTGCTAATGGGTAATTCTTTATGCAAGACCTCCATGTGTAACTCTGTATTCTAATATTTATAGAATACTTACAGCAGTACTATGCTGAATGCTTTGCATGTATTACTTCAGATACTTCTCCAAATTATCTAAGGTAGTATAATTTTTGTTCCTATTTATTTTACAGAAGAGGCATAAAGAAGGTGACTAATTTGCTCAAAGTTTCACAGGTGGTAAGTGGGTGACCACAGTTTTAAGCCCAGAGTCTGACACAAATTTGTGCTCTGGTGAGTAATGAGCTTAGTGTACATGAATGTGGGTTTTTCCCTACTAGAGTGGACAGACTTCAGCCCATCAAAGATTCCTCCAAACTGACAAGTGCAACTTGCATATAAAAAATGACATTTATTAACTTAGTCTGTACAACAACACATCGATTTAGTCAAACCAAAAAGCCTACATAAAGACTTAAATCTGTAAGATTCCATTCAGCACATATTTCACACTGCAGATAGGGAAGGACACTGCCTTTTGCTTAAAACAAAACAAAAAAGCAAAGTGGCTCCAATCTAATTTTGTAGTAGGGCACAGACCTGTGGGAAGCCCAGGTCAAGTGAGGCACTGTGGTTGACCCATTACGATGTTAAGGGTCAGCATACTGCCCACACATCAGCCCTTGTGTTAGCTTCTTTGCTTTTAAGGCAATAGTCTTTGGAAACTGAAATCACTCTGCTATAGCCTTTTGAGCAATGGCAGCATTTTCCAAAATCTTCCTTTTCCATTCTTCATAATCCTGTGTCAAGTCTTCATCTTTCTGTGGTTTGTGTGAGGTCTCTACTATCTTCTCTGTTTCTGAAAGAAAATTATCAAAAGTAATCTTAACATGGAATCAACCTAAATGCCCAGCAACAGAAGACTGGATAAAGAAATTATGGCAATATGTACTCTATAGAATACTACACAGTGGTAAAAAAAATGAAATCCGGTCATTTGCAACAAAATGGAGGAATCTGGAAAACATCATGCTGAGTGAAATAAGCCAGTCCCAAAGGGACAAATATCCTATGTTCTCCCTGATCTGTGACAACTAACTGAGCACCTAAAAGGAAACTTGTAGAAGTGAAATTGACACTTTGAGGAACAATGACTTGATCAGCCCTTGTCCTGACGGTCAAGGAACAGTTTACTATTTTATTCTTTTTAGTATTTTCTTTTTCTACTTAATACCATTTTAATTAAATATCATTTAATTAAAACACAATTATTCTTAGGTGCTTAAAGTTAACTGAAAATTGATCCCTGTTAAAAATAAGAGTAGGAATAAGAGAGGGAGATGTACAATTTGGCACATGCTCACTTACCCCTAATGGTAGAGCTAAAAATGTGCCATGGGACTCCAAATCCCATTAAGTTGGCATGTACCAATGCCATCTTACTAAAGTGATCAGTGTAAGTTCATAATTGATCATAAAGACAGGATTAAGTGTCAAAGGGATCTCATAAATAAGAACAGTGTCTGCTAATAATAACCGACAGAATTAAAAAGGAGAGAATGACCCAACATGGGAAGCAGGATACACAGCAGACTCATAGAATGGCAAATACCCTAAACAGCACTCTGGCCTCAGAATTAGCCCTTAAGGCATTTGGATCTGGCTAAAAAGCCCATGAGAGTTTCTCAGGCATGGAAAGCCAAGACACTGTGGCAAAACAAACAAACAAACAAACAAAAAACAATAACTAAATGAAAGATCTCTGTGAGATCCCAGTGGAAATAAAGGGCCATCAAAGAAGGATGTATCTTTCTGTGAAGGGAGGAGAGAACTTCTACTTTGATTATGGCCTTGTCTAAATAAGAGTTTGTGAACTCAAGAGCCATAACCTTGGCAGCTAATGACAAGAGCCTTGGGTGATTACTGACGTCATAAATAAGAATGTCAATTGTTAAATCAACAACGGGAGTCACTGTGCACTTAACTCCCCATGTAGGATCTCTGTCCTTAATGTGTTGTACTATCTGAATTAACAGTAAAACTAGTAGTATTCAAACAGTACTTTATCCTTTGTGTGTCTGGGTGGGTGCAATCTGTTGAAATCTTTACTTGGTATATACTAAGTTGATCTTCTGTATATAAAGCTAATTAAAAATGAATTTTAATGAGGAATGGGATGGGAGAGGGAGTAGGAGATGGAATAGTTGCGGGTGGGAGGGTGGTTATGGGGGGAAAAGCCGCTATAACCCAAAATTTGTACTTTTGAAATCTATATTTATTAAATAAGTTTTCTAAAAAAAAGTAATCTTAAAATTTTTATGTTTACAAATGAAATAAAAAAGTAAACTTGCCTGAAGTATTTAACTAATTAATATAATAGGGACTAAGAATTCCAAGACATCTAATACTAGTTAACATTTATCAAGCACTTATTTTGATCTTGATAGGCACAGAACTAAGCACTTTAACCATCACTACAATACTATGAGGTGGGTGCTAACACTAATCTTATTTTGGGGCTGGTGCTGTGGCTTAGCGGTGAAAGCTGCCACCTGCAGTGCTGGCCTCCCATATGGGCGCTGTTTGAGTCCTGGCTGCTCCACTTACAATCAGCTCTCTGCTATGGCCTGGGAAAGCAGTGGAAGATGGCTCAAGCCCTTGGGCCCATGCATCTGTGTGGGAGACCTGGAAGAAGCTCCTGGCTCCTGGCTTTGGATTGGATAACCAGGAAGTGAACCAGCAGATGGAAGATCTGCCTCTGCCTCTCCTTCTTGCTCTGTGTAACTCTGACTTTCAAGTAAATAAATAAATAAATCTTTTAAAAAAATCATATTTTATAGATTAGGAAAATGAGGCTAGCTTTTTAAAAAAATCACAAGCTAACAGGTAGTGATAAATAGGAGACCATTAATCTGAGGGTCTCTGTAGCTGCAGCTCTTCACATGAGCAAACTGGAACTAACAAGGAAACATTATTTGTCGCTGATGGAACAAAGACATAAGCCTCAGCCATTCTCCCTCATTGCCCAAAAGAGATAAACATTGGAATGTATTCCTTGCCCTTGAATCTCAATTGGGTCTCATACCCTATTGCCTTCATACCCCACCCCCAGGGGCCACCTGAAAAACCAGTTGCTCCAACACTTGAAAGACCAGTTCCAGGAATTCCCCTCTGCCTGCTGCTCCCTACCCCACCCCCATCCCTAGCCCTCCTAAAATATAAAAAGGCTGGGCCCCTGGGGTCAGGGTCTTCTTCCATGTGTTCCATCAATGTGTAAGCGGGCAGTTAGTCACCCACCTCTACAAATTTATTTTCTCTGAATAATTCAGTCTGGCTGTAAATTCGTACACTGCCTCCTCTCTATTCTGAGCCTCTTTTCCTAATTTATGGTGCCCCATGTGAGGAGGCACCAATCTGCAACTCTTTTCCTAACAGTAGCTATGATGGAAAATAAAAACAACAAAAAAATGCACCTCTGCAAATCATAAACAGCCAAAACCCTGTAACTAAGGACCTCCCATCAGACCATGCCCAAATAAAGCATATGCCTCGCCATAGTTAATCAGGTGATTTCTGTCCTGCTTCCTATTTAGTCTACAAAAGCTCAAGTTTGGTCTGTAAGAGATAGCTGCTCATGTTGCTGGATGGAGGGAGCTCTCTGATCCTCTTTCAGGTCTAAGTGCTACCTAATCCACAAATGATTCATCGCTCTTATAAACTAAAGTATCAAATGTGTTTGAAGTTCTTTTCACAGTGTTAAAGATTTGAACCCAAGTAGTTTGTCTTCAGACATATTCTTAATAACATAATACTTCTGTCATGACCACTCAGAACTACTTAGAAAAATGGTCTTATCAAATGATCAATAATCATGATTTATTTAAAACTTGACTCTCAGGACTGGTGTTTAGCCTAATGATTAAGATGCAAGTTAAGACACTTACTTTTCATACTGAATATCTGGGTTTGATTCATGGTTCTGGCTCCCAATTCCAGCTTTTTTGCTAACGCAGACTCAGGGAGGCAGCAGAGATGGTTCAAATGGCTGGATTCCTGCTACCCGCATGGGAGACTAGGCTGAGTCCCTGGTTCTGACTTCAGCCATGAAGCCTCTGCCTAGCCTGGTCATTGCAGGCATTTGGGAGCTCCCTCTCTCCATCTGTCTGTCTCTGCCTCTCAAATTAAAAAAACAACAGCAGCAAAAAAACGATTCTTGTCAGGCAAGCTGCTCAAGTGGTACAGAGGTGTTCACGGCACTAATCCCACCGCACTAATTTCAGCTATCAGTAGCGTTACTAAGACTTACTCTTTGCTGGCAATTCATCCACTGCTTTCTGTTTTTTCTGTGGTGGAGCAGCTAAATCTCCAGGTTCTCCTACAAGAAAAGGTGTTATCAAGGTTAATTTGTCTCCTATTCTCAATTTTAATATTTGGGCATATTTTAGATCACACATAAAAATTAGAAACCTTGACTGACCAATAGCTAGGATAAAGAGAAGGCAAATATCTTGTCCTCTTCTTTACTTGGGCTTCTCTTGCCAGACTTGAGAATTACCTCTATTCTGGCCTCTGTATATGGAGGCCGGCAGCTACATTACAGTATGTTAAAAACAGAATCTATTTTCCAGGAATGGATTCATAAGTTAAAAAAAATTACCAGGCTACTTTATTTGAAAAAAAGAAAAGTAAATTTTCTTACTAAAAAACTGGCTTCCATTAAATTTATACAGAATTCAGAAAGCAACTAATGCATGTATGCACACTGGGACTGATACTGTGGTATAGCAGGTACAGCTGCCACCTGTGGCACTGGAATCCCATATGGGTGCTGGTTCGAATCCTGGATGCTCCACTTCCAATCTAGTTCCTTGCTAATGTGCCTGAGAAAGCAGCAGCAGAAGATGGCCCAAGTTGGGACCCTGCACCCACCATGAGACACCCAGATGATGCTCCTGGCTTCAGCCTGGCCCAGTCCCATAAAATTTCTCTCTCTGCCTGTCTCTAATTCTGCCTTTCAAATAAATAAATAAATCTTAAAACAAACAACTTGGCTTTTACATTTTCTTTGTATTTAAAAGGTCTATTTATTTATTTGAGAGGCAGAGTTACAGAGAGAGAGAGACAGAGAGAGAGAGAGTTCTTCTATCCACTGGTTCACTTGCCAAATGGCTACAACAGCTGGAGCTTGGCCAATCTGAAACCAGGAGCTAGGAGTTTCTTCCGGGTCTCTCACATGGATACAGGGACCTAAGCACTTGGGCCATCTTCCACTGCTTTCCCAGGCCATAGCAGAGAGCTGGATCAGAAGAGGAGCAGCTGGGAAACCAGTGCCCATATTGGATGCTGGCACGGCAGGCAGAAGCTTAACCTACTATGTCACAACGCTGGCCCTGGCTTTTACATTCTCAAATGACACATTTTTAAATTATATAATACTCACTGTCAATCTGTTGTCCAATCTTCTCTAATTGTTTACACAGTCGGTCAAATATGGCTTTTTTTACACCAGATGCAGCTACCATTTTGTTTTTATCCACTTTCAGTTTTAGAATCCTACAAAAGATTATAAATTGGTTTTCTCAAGACCAATATAGTTTTCCTGTCTGGTCAAACAGATTATCAACCTATTTCCTTTCTTATCCACACTTTGTTAAGGGCTCCCAACTATCTAGTGCTTCCTTTATTCCAAGCATGTCATCAGGTATAGCATACAAATCTGCTTTTGTAAGCTCTTTATTTCATCACTTATTGGATCAAGAGAGTTAAAATGCATGTGGGATCTGTTTTATAACGGAGCACAGAAAAAACATTTGTTGTAGTCCTTCATGCCTTTTGGAATGCTTTTTAATAAATCTCAGATGTTTCTAATTTGCTGAACAACAATCACAGCATCTTAATCCATGGTGCCGAAATACTTTCAGCCTGGGAGTGGGAGGGACCACCTCCCAAACCCTCCTAATAATGCTCCCCAGGAAGCACTAATAAAAAACACAAAACAAACTTCTTATTCAGGATAACAGATCTGTGTAGACCTTTTATGCTCAGTGTAATGATTTCAAAAGGGGTTACTTGACCGTTCTCACTGGTTTCTAAAATAGCCTTCTTCTCTCCCTATGTACACACACCTTTGTTGAATTAAAGGGACATTTTCTACAAATATCAATGAATCACTCTTAAGTATGTAGGTAACAGAGCTAAGCATACCAAAATTAATGGCTGGGTAGTGAGAAACCCATTCTTTAAAGGCCAACTGAATTTTGGTTTCTATGTTTTCTGGGAAGATAAAAAAGACAACTTCAGTTTCCATATAGATAACATACAACCTTAAGATTTAGGTAAAGAATATTGCAATGTTTTATAAATTACTTGTCAGAACTTCTGTAGTATTTGCAAAAAATCACATATTACCACTGTTTTAATGACAGACTTCAACACTTATAAAAGACTCTGAATACTCAGTTTATGTATATAGCTAGCAGTTGGCAAAGTGATCTGTGGCAATACTATTTCCAAGTTGTCAGCTACATTATGGGATAAACTGAGAATGTGGTCACTTGGCCACTATTCTTAATGTTATTTATAGGGGAAAACGTGCTCTGAGTTGAAAATCAATTAAATTAAAGTATTCTTTGAGAATTAAAAAAAACCCACTTTCCTGAATGTTAAAGGAACACTTACTTGCACGCTGAGAGTACTGCAGCAGTGGTGAAAAGCGGCCTGGACAAATCAAGATCTACTTGCTGTGTCTGAGGAAGACTGGATTCATACCTAAGTGACAGGCATTTTACAGAATTATTTGTCAGAAAATATAACCACAGAAAGAACTGAAAATGCAAATCAAAACTTACAAGCTTTTACAACACATGAGATATGTGCTGTCACTCTGGCCTATTATTTAAGACAGAAAATTAACCAGAATAGAACAGTAGACAATTTTGCTTTATCAGTATAAATTTTCAATTAAGGCTCTTTATTTCTCATACCTTTGCAGTATCTTTGAAGCCATGTTCACTGCTTCTGTACAGCTAAACTGTACTGCTAGGTCTCTGATTCCAATATTTGAATTCAAGCCCAGTAAACACTCAAAAGATTTAAGACAGCTCTGATACATCTTCTTGTTCAAACCAGAAAGTTTAATTAGATAAGCCTTTGAAAAGAAACATACACATAAATCATAGCTTTCATATATTAGTATCCTTAAATACTTATTTAATAAGTGGTATCAACTCTTCAAAATTGGGGCTGGTGTTAAGCCTCTGAGTGTGACGCTGGTATCCCATATGGGCTCTAGTTCAAGACCTGGCTGCTCCACTTCTAATCCAGCTCCCTGCTAATGTGCCTGGGAAGGCAGCAGAAGGTGGCCTAAGTCCTTGGGCTCCCACACCCACTATAGAACCTGAAGAAGCTCTAGGCTCCTGGCTTAGGCCTGGCCATTTTGGGAGTAAACCAGTGGATGGCCGATCTCTCTCTCCTCTACTCTCTGTAACTCTGCCTTTCGGATAAATAAAAAATAAATCAAAAAAAAAAAAAACCTCTTCAAAATTAATTCTATGGCAAGTCCCTTTACCTTAAATGACTTCATTTAGCTTCATTTAGTCAGAATCATAAACACGTCAAGTAGAATTAAGTATTGCTTTTGAGGAGACAAATTTAAATTATCACCTAGTATTAACTTAGTCAAGTTGTGAATTAAAAAAAAACATGGGAGACTCATAGATGGTTAATTATGTTTTCAACAAAGGTGCCAATGTGCAATTTATTTGGAAAAGGAAGGAGGCAAGCAGCGAGAGTGAGGAGGGCCGTGTATAGAAGGGGAAAGGGAGAGAGCAAGGAACCAAGAAACAGATCAACACCCATGGGAAACCAGTGACTTACGGACAGCTTCACAGAGGATGTCACTGCAAGGTAGGGTCACATAAGACACACAGGCACTTGCTGGAAGAGCATTCTATGATAAGAAAGGTGTTGTATTTACAAAGCCATGAGTCACTGAAGTACGTGGTCTGTTAGTAAATACTGTAGCTTTAGGTCTGGGTTCAAGAGAGGCTGCAGAATCTGATGGTAAGGGAATGGGAGGCCAATAAAGCTTGGTTTTTAGGTAAGTGTATCCACTGTGACACAGGTACTATTAGGTATGTTATATACAGCATATTGCTTAATCCTCATAATAATCCTGTGAAATGGATATTTTTATCCTCAATTAAATGGTGAGGAAACAGCTTGACATTTGGTCCCAACATACAATTCTTCCTGACTAAGCCTGTTCTCTGTGACAGGGAAGGAAACATACATGGGTTATAAAATGCGCGCTTAAGGAGAATGAGCTAGAGAAGTGTGAAAGATGACCTCTAGTAAAAAGAAAGAGGTGGTTAGATTATAAAGAGAATAATGCCAAAAACAAAAATTTTTCCAACTCAACAAAATGATTCTAATAATAGCCAGGGTGAGTAAATGAACAGATGGACGATCTCTCCCTGTCCTCCTTCCCCACCAAAAAATCAAAACAAAATAGTCCAACTAATAATCAAAATGTAAAATGTTCAAGTTCAGTGTTGCACTGGAGTACAAGATATTCCAAAGGATCTGCTTACCCTGTCCAAGGGGTACTTCATACAGGAAGCTGCGAGGTCCAGGCACATGACGGCATTGCTGGTTTCGGTGGTATGGGCAGAGAGGCCAACACACTTCAACTGGGACAGTCGTAAGTACTCCTCTGCTTTCCTAGTTACAAAGGCGATGTGTTCACCAACACTCTTTTCCCGAAGTTTGCCCAGTAACTACAGCCTGCTGGACTTCATCCTGAGCCCAACTACCGTGCACGTTTATCCAGGGATGGGAATGAAGAGACATCTCTCGGGAGAGGAAGCTCTCGGACACAGAACCAGCACCCAGATCCCAGGCATCACTGAGCTCAAGAGGTTTCTGGCAAAAGTGCGATCAAGTCCCCCATAAAGCAACCCTTCTGTCCTTGCACTGCTAGGACGAGCATGAACAATCACAGAGGCAGGCAGGTTAGACCGGGGCTCCTGCTTTTCCCCTTCCTTCAAATCAGCGGTTCTCAAACTTTAGGCATCCAGCAAACACCTCGGGGGCGTGTGAAAGTGGCCGGCCGGCTCCCATCCCGTTTCTGATCAGCAGGCCTGGGGTGGGGCCCAAGAACTCGTATTTCTAACAAGTGCCAAGACGCTGCCAGTGGTGGTGGGCTAGGAACCGCTGGGAATGGCTGTTCCACGCGCCGACCGAGGGCAGGAGGTCTGGCTTCGCATTTTTTTAAGAGGTGGTCTTTTCCTTCCCTCCCCAGACCTGGCTGACTGCTGAGGCACCCACGCTTTAGCTACAAGGGCTTCATTTCGAACCCTGGATCCCGCAGAGATCTTTCCCGTAACAAGGCTTTCGCAGACCGCCGTCTCTCTCCCGGCCGGTCCGGCCACGTCTTCCCATAGCTGCCGGCTCCACCTTCGAGGCCGTTTTGAAATCTTGTTGAAGGCAGCCGCCAGGCCGCACTGCTGCCCACCTCTGGTTTAATGAGTGCCCTCCGCAGTTTCTGCCACTGCAGGCGGGGACTCCCACAGGGTCCGCCTGGTTCATCGCTGTCAACGCGCCCTCAACAGGGGGCTGCGGACCGATGGACGTTCCCCGACTCGCTCCTTTTCCTACTGCCGAGCATCCCCCAGACCTCGTCTTCACACGCCCTTTCTTGTCAGCTTACAGAAACCTACGGCTAGGAAGTTTTCCCTGAAGCTGAGCCTAAATCCCGCCGAGCCCCGGCGCACCCCGTCTCTCCCGCACTGCCTGTCAGGCAGGAGGGGGCGCGCCTCGCCTGAGAGCCCAGGGCCGCGAGGCTGGGGCCCCGCCCGGGTGTGCGCAGCCAGACTCACCTCAGCAGGTCGGGATCGGAGAGGCCCAGCCGCGGGGCTAGGCGTTCGAGGAGCCCGGATCCCATGGCACTGACTCTAAAAGACGAAGCACTCGCGCGAACGCCAGCCGCACGACGAAACCCGCGCGCAGACGCGGCGTCGGCCAGTGGCAACCAGGCCCAGCCCCTTGCGCACTCTGATTGGTTGGAATGAGAGGTTGCCTCCGGCTGAGAACCCAATCCTGTTCTTTATCCTGCGCTTGCGCACCACAAGTGCTCTCGAAAAGGCGGATGTAGCCAACGCGGAGGGCGGCTCCCCCTCCTTAAATTCCTTCCTTCTTGAGAAACTCGCTTAACAGTGCCTTTCCCTCCTTCTGTCTCGTATGTGCCCTGGAGAGATCGCCCCTGCCTTGAAACACACGGCCTATTGTCACATCGTGTGAACAGACCGGCTGGAGCCCAAGCCTGTCAGTCCAGCGTTAAGTGGCAGGGGACAATAAACACGCGAGACTTGGGTTCCTAGAAGCGGTCCAATGGAGGAGCTGTCTCCCCGGCTGGAAGGCGGGGCTAGAGAGGGCGGGGCTTCAAGGGGCCGCAGCGTCACCTGACCGCGGGAGGTTCCGCGCGGGGTAGGTGCTGCTTGCAGCAGGCTCGGGGGAGTCGCCATGGTGAGTGCTGAAGGGTTGGCAGATCCCCTGCCTAGCCTTCTCTTGCAGCCCTTGTTGGCTCTCGTTACCCTGGAGCCCCGAGGGTGGGGAGGGGAGTCCCTGCGGCCGGATCGGGGCTAAGACCAGCTCGACTTGGCCTGCGGGATAGGGGACAGGCCGCGGAAGGCCGCGAGCAGGCGGATCCGGGCAGGGGTGGGCGGCGGCTCCTGGCTGCGGCCGTTTATCTGAGACAGAGAGAGAACCGAGAGGCTGTATCGACCCGTAGGCTTTGGAGGGTCCTTAAAAGGCCTGAGGCCGCCTCTCAGTGGAACCGGCCACCTCCCTGTCAGGAGGGAAGCCAGAGTCCCAGGTCCGAGCGTCCGGCCGGGTCGGGGGCATGCGGAGGGCCTGAGGCTTGGGGGTGGCGCCGGGACCCGCCCAGATGTTGCGTTTCCACCTTTGTGCTCAGTTAGTTGTGCTCCATTGGCCACTCGCCTTTTCCTGTGCAAGAAATTCGTCCCGGAGGGGCCGCAAAGTGTGCCGGCCTTTCTTGGGCGCTTAGACCCCGTAGGCTGCCGAGTTTGTCCGCGGATTCCAGGGACCTGCTTTCGTGATTTTCCGGGAAGGATTCATGCAGTCTTCCACTAATCCTGACAGTCGGAAAGGAGAATGCTTGTTTCCTTTAGCGTTTGTTCATTGGGCATCCTGGCGCTCTTGTTTTCCCCATTGATGGAATCCAAGAATTTCACTTGCTGGAATAGTCACTTGAAAACCTCTTCTTAATGGCAGCACATCGTGGTGTGGCTGTTGGCCAATAAACTTGAACTTCCTAAAAATGTGAATGCTTGTGTCTAGTCGCCACAAAGGCAAGTTGTCACTTGCTTTTTATGAGCATTTGACATAATCTGCACTGGGTAAATAATGGTTTTGGATGATGGTGTACTGTATGTCAGTTTTAATTATCTCATTATTCACTTTGCAGACAGGCTTCCGTAAGCCTGGAAACAGGTTGTTAATTCCAGAAAGCAACTAAATGTTTGATGTATAGTTCTTTAGGTTGCCATACAAAGTGATTTTACTTATTTCTCAAGAATTTTTACAATTGGGAATTGATATAAGACTAGTATAAAAATTTAACTTTAGTGCCAGTGCTGTGGTGTAGTGAGTAAGGCTGCCATCTGTAGTGTGGCATCCCGTATGGGCACCAGTTCAAGTCCTGGCTGTTCTACTTCTGATCCAGCTCTTTGCTATGGCCTGGGAAAGCAGGAGAAGATGGCTCAAGTCCTTGGGCCTCTACACCTGTGTAGGAAACCCAGAAGAAGCTCCAGTCTCATGGCTTCGGATTGGTCCACCTCTGGCTGTTGTGGCCATTTGGGGAGTGAACCAGCAGATGAAGACCTCTCTGTCTCTTTGTATCTCTACCTTTCAAATAAGTTAACTAAAAAACTTAACTTTAGGATTTGTATGTTTCTCTGCTTTTATAGGGTTTTGTAATGAAAAGCACTTAATTGAAATTCTGTTACACACCCCAGTTCTGAAATAGGTAAACCAGTTTGGAGCAGTAAGCCAGACACAGTATTGTCCTCATAAATTTTATTGGGAAAGGTAAACTGGGTATCAGACCTGTCACAAACGGCAGTCACTCAGTCTTGTTTGAATCTCATTTTTACGTCTGAAAACAAGTGTTGGCCTCTTTGGCCCTTTCCATTCCTAAAATTCTAGGATCCAGTTCAGTCCATCAAATATCCGTGTGCCTTCAGTGTTATAGATTGTGCTAGGCACTGATTGCAAATGTGGTCAAACTTCACAGTTCACTTGGGAAGACATGCCTGTGGAACTTACGGTCACATGATGTGAAGATTGCTTTACTTGCACTGTCAACTTGGTGCTTTGGGGTCTTGGAGGGAGAGAGAAAGAGTTTTGCTTAGGGAGCTTGGTAAAGACCATAGGAAGTAATTTGGGAACTGAGGCTCCCGTGGAGAAGAAAGAGTATTTCCATTAATGAAGCCATAGGAGTGAATGTGCATGGTGTGCCCTACCACAGGACTCCTCGGGAGAAGTATTGGTAAATTAGTTCCAGTCTGGTATTGAAGTTCCCACTGCATCTCTTTAATTCCCCCTGTTTCGGTTGTTAATTTGTGCCAAATCATCGTTTCCTTAACATAATAATTGTCTTTGTGAGATTAGTTTACATTATATGATTGATTTTTATATGCCTTTGTGTAGAGGTATTAAGAATAACAACTTTTTTTCTTTTTAAGATTTTATTTATTTATTTGAGAGGTGGAGTTACAGACAGTGAGTGAGAGACACAGAGAAAGGTCTTCCTTCCCTTGGTTCACTCCCCAGATGGCTGCAACGGCTGCAACTGTGCCAATCTGAAGCCAGGAGCCAGGTGCTTCCTCCCAGTCTCCCACATGGGTGCAGGGGCTCAAGCACTTGAGCCATCCTCTACTGCTTTCCCAGGCCACAGCAGAGAGCTGGATTGGAAGAGGGGCAGCTGGGACTAGAACCGGCACCCATATAGGATGCCGGCACCGCAGGCGGAGGATTAACCTACTGCACCACAGTGCCAGCCCCTGTATGATTGATTTGTGTTGTATTGTCAGATTACATCTATAGCATATGAGCAGGGAAATTGACCAAGAAATAGGCTGCTAAGATGGCTGTAGACAGGGGCCAGTGCTGTGGTGTAGCAGGTAAAGCTGTCACCTGTGGTGTTGGCATCCCATATGGGTGCCAGGTCATGTCCCGGCTGCTCCACTTCTGATCCAGCTCTCTCCTATGGCCTGGGAAAGCAGTGGAAGATGGCCCAAATCCTTCGGCCCTGCACTGGCCTGGGAGACCTGGAAGAAGCTCCTGGCTTCAGATTGGCAATGCTCTGGGCATTGCGGCTGTTTGAAGAGTGAACCAGCAGATGCCTCTGTCTCTCCCTCTCTGTAACTCTGCCTTTCAAATAATAAATCTTAAAAAAAAAAAAAAAGGGCTGTAGACAATTGCTTGTATCTAAAAAGGGATATAGTAACAATTCAAACACTTTTTGATTACTACTAAGTGCTAGACACATTTTTGAGCTTTACCTGTGTCATTTCATTTATCATAGCAGTGATGCAAGTACTTTTTTTTTTTTTTTTTTTTTGACAGGCAGAGTTAGACAGAGAGAGACAGAGAGAAAGGTCTTCCTTCCATTGGTTCACCCCCTAAGCCAGGAGCCAGGTGCTTCCTCCTGGTCTCCTATGCGGGTGCAGGGCCCAAGCACTTGGGCCATCCTCCACTGCCTTCCCAGGCCACAGCTGAGAGCTGGACTGGAAGAGGAGCAACCAGGACAGAATCCAGTGCCCCAACTGGGACTAGAACCTGGGGTGCCGGTGCCGCAGGCAGAGGATTAGCCTAGTGAGCCACGGCACCGGCCCTGATGCAAGTACTCTTATTATACCTATTTTATAAAAGGTGAGGAGAAAGCATGTGGTTTGAATGGAGAATGGTTTTATCAGTGATCAGTTCATGATGGTCTTTGTTTTTCTCTGTACCTTGTATCTGTGTAGACTTAAAAAAGCTGTTTCTGGTCTCAAGCTAAAATGGGCAAATCACAAATGTTATTTTGATCTTGATTCTCTAATATTTACATTTTTCTCTTACCTGATAAAGAGTCATTTGCAGATTGAAGACCTGTGTCACATGTGTGAAGACGTTGGTTATCTGGCTTATATTTAGTGATGGAAAATTATGCTATAGTTGATCTTACTACATGCAAGACTTCTCAGCAAGGGGCTCAAGAGTAGCCCTTAGAAGAGACATTTGGAGATGGGCATTTGGCCTAGTAGTTAGGACATGCTCACATCCCATATCTGAGTGCCTGGATTTGATACTGTCCTCTGGCTCTTTTTTTTTTTTAAAGATTTATTTATTTATTTGAAAGGCAGAGTTACAGGGAGGCAGAGGCAGAGAGAGAGAGAGAAAGATCTTTCTTCTGCTGGTTCACTCCCGAAATGGTCACAATGGCCAGAGCTAAGCCTATCCGAAGCCAGGAGCAAGGAGCTTCTTCCAGGTCTCCCATGTGGGTGCAGGGGCCCGAGTGCCTGGGCCATCTTCCACTGCTTTCCCAGGCTGTAGCAGAGAGCTGGATTGGAAGTGCAGCAGCTGGTACCAGAACCAGTGTTCATATGGGATGCTGGCACGCAGGTGGAGGATTAACCTGTGCCACAGCACCAGCCCCTCTGGCTCTTGATTCTAGCTCCCTGCAGATCCAGGGAGGCAGCTGTAATGGCTCAAATAATTGGGTCCTTGCCACCTGCGTGGGAGACCTGGATTGTATTCCTAGCTCCTGGCTTTGGCCTCACCCAGTCAGGGGCTATTGTGGCCATTTAGGGGAGTAAATTGGCAGATGGGAGCATACTCTCTCTCTCTCTCAAATAAACAAACACAAATAGCCATTTGTAGTATAACTATATGTCTAAGTAATATGTAAAAGTACATTTCCTTATGATAGCTTTATTTCATTTATAGCCTGTGTTTAAGACAGTATGCTAAATGAAATAACCAGACAAAAGAAAAAATATTGTGTGATTTGATTTGTATCAGGTAACTAGAAGAGTCAAAAGCAGAGAAAGAAAGTAGATTGGCCTAGGTGGCAGTTAGTCTTTTTTGTTTCTGTTTTTGTTTTATAGAGTTAATTATTTGAGAGGCAGAGTTAAAGAGAGGGAGAGTCAGTGAGAAAAGTCTTCCATCTGCTGGTTCACTCCCCAAATGGCGACAAAGGCCAGAGCTGGGCTGATCTGGCACCAGGAGCTTGTGGATGGTGGTGATAACTGTCCAACAATGTGAATG